TTACGTCAACGTCAACAACGTCCTGCCAATGTCCAAGAACTTGCTGCTGCGTTGCAACAGGAATGGGACAATCTGGACCAAAATGACCTTAGACGTCTCATTAGGAGTATGCCACGTCGGATCAATGCTTGTTTGGCAAACAGAGGAGGATTTACCCGTTACTGACTTGGTTGTGATGCTGTGGTAACTTTGCTGTTTGACCTCGGGTATCATTTTACCCTTATAATGGTCAGTCTGTGCCTTACTTAGTCTAACGATCATTTGGAATAAATCGATGAATGTGAACTTCATTTCATTTTGTCATTTGTTTCTTCGTCAGTTTCATTAGGTGACTTTAATAAGACTTAAAAATCAAATATCCCCTACTTTTTTTGAATAGTATATTAAAAGAAAAAAATTTATTTGGGATATAAACCTATATTTTAAATTTCATCAAAATCAGATCAAAATTGTGACCTCTTGAGGGTCCACAACCTTGGTATTAAATACTTTTACACTATTTGAATGATGAATGAGTTGACTAGAAATAACTCCTTCACTTGATAAATAGTAGCCAGAATTATTGTTCAAGCGCAATATCTGAATTCTTAGGGACTCGAGGGCCCATATGTATCCACAAGTCTTCTGGATTTATTGGTGTCAAGCCACCACAGTTCCGTGGCTGGAGTTGGCTCAAAGGAGGTTACTGTGGTGTCAGAAAGAGATAAAGACATGAGATCATTCAAAGAACTTTCATTCAACCTAGCCCTCCAGTCAGATTTGACTCTTTCATAAGGCTGAAGCCTCGTTCTATAATTATTAGAGATTGAGATCCTATAGTAGAGAGTTAATTTTTTTATCGTCTCTTCTGAAAGTTTGTTTTCCCGCCCCAGACCAGTAATTTTACGCAAAGCTGTGCCAAGGCATTTTGCTACGTGGTTAGCACAATCCTCTTTAATAATGTCAACATCGTCTCCATATGGAGATAAAGAGGAAACAGCTTGAAATGCCTTGCTGTCTCCATCACAAAGAAATTGACGGTATCTGAGTTTGGGAATTTGTGTGGTTGATCTTTCCCAAATATATTTAGCAGCCGTAGTCTCCATGGCATGTGATGACGAGTCGGTATTTTTTGTGCATTTGGGATTGTGTACAATAAGCCAGTCTGCATAATTTTCATTGTCTTCATTTGGGCCTGATGAACAACCCTGACAATAATTTGATAATACCTGGTAGTCAAGTACGTATCCCGTGGCCACATCAAGACATGTCCCCACCCCATTATGACTTTTATGCCCTCTTTTCTGCCACATACCGTCGTACATAACTGCAATGTCCCCCTTTTCCCTTGTTGTTTTTAATTCTGTATTTAGACTATCGTGATCTTCATACAACCCTTCAATAACACATGTTCTATCGGCAATTTCTCTCACTTGAGACAAGTGTTTCAGAAAAGAAGTTTTTGTAGCATCATGGAGTTTGCTTTCTAAATTTTGGAAAGTTTTCAAATGTGGCATATTTGGAACACCCATGATGCTAAAAAACCTTTTGATCTGATAATAGCCTGTCCCTACACTACGGGATGCCAGGATTAATTTCAAATTAAGGGAGAAGGGAAGACGGGAACTGGAGGTATATTTGGGCGTGTAACTGTTCGGGGCAGTATCTGTTGACACTTTCTTTGATGTATATACAGTTGACTGAAAGTTAGTTTGCATGTTCATATTCATGACATTGGATGGGCATTGCAGATTAGAGCAAAGTAAAACAAGGGCCATAACTCTAAAAGTAATTGACGGAAATTGCTGACATTCAATTGGCTTCTTCATTTTACTAATTCAAATGATGCATATGAATTTCATACAGATTAGGTGATAACTTTGTTCAAGCGTTCTCAAGATTCAACAAAGTTAAACAAGGGCCATAACTCTAGATGTAATTAACAGAAATTTACTGAAACTCAATAGGTTTGTTCCTTTTACTAATTTAAATAATACATATAAATCTCATACAGATCGGATAATAACTTTTGCGTTAGAGCATTCACAAGGGACAACAAAGTGAAGCAAGGGCCATAACTCACAGCGTAATTAACGGAAATTGCTGATATTCGATAGGCTTCTTCGTTGCACTAATTTAAATGCCAGATATCAATTTCAAACATATCGGATGATAACTGTTGTCATTAGAGCGTTCACAAGATTCAACAAAGTGAAACAAGGGTACTAACTCTAGATGTAATTAACGGAAATTGCTGAAACTCTATAGGCTTGCTCCTTTTACTAATTTAAACAATACATATAAATTTCATACAGATCGGATAATAACTTTTGCGTTAGAGCATTCACAAGGTACAACAAAGTGAAGCAAGGGCCATAACTCACAGCGTAATTAACGGAAATTGCTGAAATTCAATAGGCTTCTTTATTTCACTAATTTAAATGATGCATATCAATTTCAAACAGATCGGATGATAACTCTTGGTGTTAGAGCGTTCACAAGATTTAACAAAGTGAAACAAGGGCCATAACTCTAGATGTAATTAACAGAAATTGCTGAAATTCAATAGGCTTCTTTGTTTTACTAATTTAAATGATGCATATAAATTTCATACAGATCAGATAATAACTTTTGTTTTATGAAGAAGTAGAGTTGTAGTTCCTGTTAATTTACGACTGACTCTTTTGTTAGATTTGCATAGTGAACATTTGGGAACTGTCCGTATGAAAGCTGTTGCGAGACAGTATTTCTGGTGGCCGAAAAATTAATGAGGAAAAAGAAAACATAACTAAACATTGTAAAATGTGCCAAGAAAAAACGACTATGCCTGCACCCCCGGACGTCGCATCGTGGAATTGGCCCTTGGTCCCGTGGAAGAGATTACATCTAGATTTCGCCGGTCCATTTTTAGGCTACTCTTTTTTGATTGCCGTTGATTCTTATTCGAAATGATTAGAGGTCATTCAAATGAAATCTATCACCACGACATCAACTGTTAACGAACTTAGGAAGCTATTTTCAACATTCGGTACTCCCGAACACATAGTAACCGATAATGGTACACAATTTAATAGTAGTGAGTTCTTCGAGTTTTTATCCACGAATGATATTAAACATACGCGTACAGCTCCAGCACACCCTGCGACCAACGGTATGGCTGAACGATATGTAGGTTACTTTAAACTTTAAGAAACAAATGAAGAAAATGGCGAACGACCGAGGATCGCTAGAAGAAAAAATTTGTCGATTTTTGTTGTCTTACAGAACAACACCACATTCAGCGACTGGTGAAAGCCTGTGTTATCTGCTGATGCATCGACAACTTCGTACAAGGTTTTCAAGTCTTAGACCTTCTTTGAGTTTTAGAAAGGAGTGTGATGTATATTATTGATGTAAAGCAACGTTCGTACGATGTTCAAGTCTACCAACCAGTTTGGAAAAGACACCAGTATCAACTTCGCAAACATTCTCTTGAATTAAAGGATAAATCACCGGAATTATTAGATGCAACACTTACGTCAAATAAGTTGGGTCGTCAGTTTAATTCTAACCCGGACGGACTGTTAAAAAGACATACCAACTCGTCAAACTAATAAAACTGATATTAATAAACCGATCTTGTCTGAAGTTCAGAATCCTCCAGATCAACCAATCGTTACAGAACGTCGATATCCAGAACGTATAAGACGTGTTCCAGATCGTTATAAATAAACTTTTCTTAGATAATAGTAATTAACGCTATTTTCAAATTTTCCTAAAGAGAGATAATTGTTATGAATTGATTGTAGATCATTATCGTACCTTTAAGATGATTGTAGATCATTACCGTACCTTTAAGATTAAGGTTAGGCAAGTTGTAGTCTGGACTGAGGTAACTTTAGCCTGGCAGTTCGATTTATTCAATTCTAGAATAAAGACATGTTTTGAAATCACCTTGTGTTATATAAGACCCCACTCTAATACACAATAGAAAGGAACCAAGATCTTTAGAGTTATAAACTTACATTTTAAGTTTCATCAAAATCTGAAGAAAATTGTGACCTCTAGAGGGTCCACAACATTGATATTTTTACGCTATTTGCCTACGAGGGACGGCCATTTTGTCTGAGTTTTGGTCCGATTTTTACGAAATTCGAACTCAACCATCCTTAGAGTGTAACAGTGATATATTCAAACTTTTTTTAAATTGGATAAAAATTTTGACTGCTATAGGATCCACAAGCTAAAAATGTGATTTTTCGTACAATCTGGGGCCATAATTCAGGAAGTTATGGTTTGATATGCGCGAATATCGAAAGGAACTGAGATCTTTGGGTTATAAACTTACATTTCAAGTTTCATCAAAATCAAAAGAAAATTGAGACCTGATGAGTGTCCACAAATAATTGTGGACGGATGGACCGGGTGCGACGACAATACACGTCCACATGAAAATCGGATAAGAATTGTGACCTGTAGAGTGTCCACAAAGAAATTGTGGACGGACGGACTGACAGACAGGGGCGACGACAATATACGTCCACATGAAAATGTGGGCGTATAAAAATTGTGACCTGTAGACTCTTCACAAACAATTGTGGACGGACGGACGGACAGGGGCGACGACAATATACGTCCAAATGAAAATATGGGCGTATAAAAATTGGATAAAAATTGTGACCTCTAGAGTATCCACAAACTAAAAAAGGTTTTTGTATACAATCAGGGGCCATAATCCATGAAGTTAGGTCCGACATATGCCAATATCAAAAGGAACGAGATCTTTGGGAGATAAACCTATATTTCAAGTTTCGCCAAAATTGGATAAAAATTGTGACCTGTAGGGAGTCAACAAACAAATTGAGGCTGGACGTCCGGATGGACAGGGGTGAGTCAATATACATCCATATGAAAATGTGGGCTAATCAAAACATCTATTTGTGCTTATTCTATAGCTAAAGCATTGGGGTTTTTTATTTTTGTTGCCGTGGTAGAAAAATCCTAATTTCCAGGACTGCATATTATATAAATATTTTACTTACCAATTATTCTAATCCTATTTTCAGCTAAATTCAATTCAGACAATTTCCATAAAGTTGAAATATTCTATTTGAAAAAAATGTTTTATAGAGTTATATCAAAGCAAATTAAGTAGGTTTATTCCAAGTACAAAATCAAATAAATAGTGGAAAAACTCTTGCAATCATTGCTACGACAGATGCGTAATGAAGATTTGAAGAAACAGTGTAAACACTGTTAGTTTCTCTGATCCATTGGAAAATTTTGGCTAATAATAAATCTCAGTGTTTTTATTTAATTTTGATTACCAAGCATCTAACTAACTAGTAATGTTTAGTTTGTTGACACATGTTTAATTACAAACATCCCGCTTAATTATTACAGCTGATCAATAATTAGTTGAACCGTTCAATTTCCTGAGTCATGATTAAAATTAGTCATGGTGTCCAATTACACAAGGTGTTTGATTCTGTTGTCTAAAATCCTGTTAAATCTGACCTGTCGCGATACGGTGAAATAGTTTTCAGGATTCAGACAGTAGGTTTCTGCATGCCTGGCGATTAAATTTCAAGATCACTACGGTGTAACAGATGTTGAATTTTTAATGGCAACGGGACGAAGCAAAGCTTTCTAGAGATGCACATAACGTTTCGTCCACAATCATAACGTGTATCTATATTTGAAACAGCATTTCCCACACTGACATAACACATCCACGAATGATAAATCTCACACCTCTGATTCATGTGTGTACACGTTGACTCACTGTCCAGATTAAATCCTTTTGTTTAACAACTATGTATTCGCAATTAAGACTCCATAATGTCTAGGACTGCGTGCGGGTATTGCACCAATCATATTACAATTTACATGATACAGGATCTATAGAAAGCATTTTGGGTTGAAGGATAGAGCAAAATGTGAGCGGCCGCATCTAAATGAGTCGGGATGCGCGAGAATCAATAATGAGATAAAGACAAAATAAGTGAAAATATTGATTTTGAACGAAGAGTCTATAAATATACTATCTATCGACACAGAAGATCAAAATAGCAATAAAACATTTTAAAACACCTGTATTTGAACGTTTTGTAAGAGTACCGTATTCTCTTAAATCTGTCCTATTTCTTAAAATTCTCGGCGAAAGTAGTTTTTTATTTTCGCTCGCAGTGGGACGACCGGTCATTCCTCTTGCATAACAATTGGCATTGTTGTAAAGCGGAGCATCTCTAGTTTATAAATATGATCAAAATATTGTCGATGAATTGATTTTGAACAGATACAATCGAGTTTTAAAACCCTCCAAAAATATAAATAAACTCCGCCTGTTGCCATGCTGTCCACACAACTCCTTTGCTGATTGGCCCAGACACCGCGTGCAAAACATTATCCATACATATTTGGTTTTGGCGATAATGTTTTTGGGTACTTACATGCGATTTACTCTGATAAGTGGCAGAAAAAATAAATAATTCTGATCGTAGAGATTGCCGTTGAGTGTTAATCGAAACCACATGGCTGATGATGTAAATTAATCAACAAGCGGGTGTGTGTCATTGAGTAATACTATTACTAATCAACTGTCACGGGTCAATGATAAAGCTGTCGACAACTCATTATTTACTCCAAATAATTAATTAAGTGGTGATTATTTGATATCTCATATCATCTTTAAAAAAATAATCTATAGGCCTTAAATGGAAATAAACAAAATGGCCAATAATTTTCTTTTCGAAGAGAATTTTATTGATAGCTGAATTCCGTTTACCGTCGCTTCTTCAAACGACATGCAAAGTAAGGAATGCATCTGGGATATTATTGTTTAAAATTCTCTTATCACAATGGGTCGAAAAAATGAGAACGATCAACGAGCCGAAATGCGACGATTCTCGAGTCTGCCATTGAGTATCCTCTGAATAATGTTGATATTTACATCAAAGCCAAAATGCACGAAAGTGAACGTAAGCATTTCTTGACTATGAAATTGACATTTCTATAGGGACTCATATTTTGATAATGTCACGGTACCTGAAAATAATAATAGACCTATCGTACACGCAAAATCTTATTTTAATTCGTGTTAAATGAACACGCATACAGCTGTGGCGACTTCTTTGATGATTATCCAATCAACAATCTTAATCTCCTGACCACTAGCTGGCACTAGGGTGCTAATTAATTGATGAGATTAACTGTTAATCTCACCAACGTTATAATATACAAAACAGACTACTAATATATAGATTATTCTTCAGTATAGTTAACATTATCATATGAATATGCTGTATGTGTTATGGATGTTTCGTCATGAAATTCGAAGTCAACCTTCATTACCGTTAATGGTGATATAATCAAACGTTTTTTTAAATTGGCTAATAATTGTGACCTCCAGGGGAACCACAAGCAAAAAGATATGTTGCTAGGCAACGAAACATACGCCCTCAGAAGGATGACCACTTCCATATTTCAAAATCAATTTTGAAACAGTGCATCTTAGAAATAAAGTTCTGGATGAGTCAAAACTCTCTCAATCTCAAGACGATAAGACAGAAATTGGATAACAACCTAAGTATTAAAGTGGGCGATAGTGCCATCTGTCCCTCTTAAGTCGGCTCGGAACATTGGGGTAATTTTTGATTCTCACCTGTCAATGGAGAGTCATATAAATCATGTGCGTAAATTAGGATACTTTAATTTGCGAAATATTGGAAAAGTGAAACCAAAAGTGTCTGCAGATTGTGTGAAAACTCTTGTTAATGCTTTAGTGACTTCTTGCATTGATAACATGAACTCTTTATTATATGGTATCCCTGCTAAATATATCGATAAACTACAACCAGCGGCTGCCAGGCAGGATACGCCCACATTTTCGAGAGATGGATAGAGAACAAGCTAAAAAGAAAGTGATTTTTCCTAAAATCAAGGGCCATAATTCAGGAAATTACAATTCGATATGCGCAAATATCGAAAGGAACCAAGATCTTTGTGTTATAAACTTACATTTCAAGTTTGAACAAAATCGGATAAAAATTGTGACCTCTATAGGGTCCACAACCTTGATATACCATATTTTTAGGCTATTTGAGAACGAAGGGCGGCCATTTTGTCTGTCAGTTTTGGTTTGATTTTCACAAAATTCGAACTCAGTCATCCTTGTGGTGTAACGGTGATATAATAATACGTTTTTTTAAATCGGATAAAAATTATGACTTCTATAGGGTCCACAAGCTAAAAACACGATTTTTCGTACAATCAGGGGCCATAATTCAGGAAGTTACGTTCCGAAATGTGCGAATATCGAAAGGAACCGAGATCTTTGGGTTATAAGCATACATTTCAAGTTTAAACCAAATTGATTAAAAATTGAGAACTCTACAGTGCTCACAAGCTAAAAACGTGATTTTTCGTACAATCAGGGGCCATAATCCATTAAGTTAGTCCGATACATGCCAATAACAAAAGGAACCGAGATCTTAGGGTGATAAACCTATATTTAAAGTTTCGTTGAAATCTGATAAAAATTGTGACCTGTAGAATGTTCACAAACAATTGTGGACGGGTGGACAGACGGGGGCGACGACAATATACGTCCACATGAAAATGCGGGCGTATAAAAATGACAAAATTCTGCAGCTAGGCTTATTACTGGTACTTCTTATAGAGAACATATAACCCCAATCCTTATTAATTTACACTGGCTCTTGGTTAAATCTAAAATAACCTATAAAATTGTATTGTTAACTTTAAATGTCTCAATTGTCTTTCCCCACCTTACTTATCCAATCTTTTAACTTTATATTCACTATCCCGAACTTTACGTTCTTCTCAAGATCATTTTCTTTTAAAGGAGAAAAAATCAAACCTTGCCTCCTGTGGCCATCGTGCTTTTTCCATTTGTGCACCAAAATTATGGAATAAATTCCCACACAGTATATGCAGTTGCAATTCACTTCCTGTTTTTAAAACGAAACTCAAAACCCACCTATTTACTCTTGCTTTTACATAATTCTATTTTTACACTTTATATATTACTGTTTATTTAAACATACATTATGCAAGAGCTAATCTGATTATTGCAAGTCTTTATTTAGGCTTCAGATGTCATAGAAATTATAAATTAGATCTTTATTTACACAACAAGCACAAAATCAACTCTGTAGACCCACAGATGGCTTGAATCCAGCTTGGATTTAAACAGGATTTCGTTGACTGATTTAATTTTAAATGGCATCGTGAGCGGAGATTAACCGTTACGTTGACGTCATACTCCCGGGTCGAGGCTAAATGAGAGTGTACGAGGCGAGGCTGCTGTTGAGCGATGCCTTAACAATTAATGACATCTAAACTATTTAAAGTGCAATAAACTAAACACAGATAATGACAAATTATACAATTCCTGAAGACCGTGTGATGACTTATACAGATGGACAGGTCTTCTGTCTTAATTACAATAAAAATATTTTTATTTCCCCAATAGTCACATAGCCACTGGTGTATACCTATAGATTTATCATAATTGTATTATAATATTATGTCCTATATTCAATTGATTTAAAGCATGCCAAAAATACAAGTAAGAATGAAAATTTACCCTCTCACTCATTTTGTCCAATTGTTATAAAAATCCAAAAAGGTAAAACACAAATTCGAATATGATGACAGCAGAGATTATGTAGGTGGAATTAACGATTGTCAATCAAACAAGCGGCCATACCAAGAATCGGTGAAGATGGAATTCAATCCCATTTCTAGTCAAAAATTACACTGGTGATAACTATGTTCAGAATAAAGTAATTTGACTTAAATTTTCAATATATTCTTCTTTCATCATCTATTTTTGAACTGTTATAGCAAGAATGGCTAACTCCTTATAAAAATCTCCCATAATGTATCTTTAAATGTGGATTTCAAAATTTCTATTTTTACACAAACTACATATTTTTAAAACCCTATCTATATTCTATATTGATATTGTGATTTTATCCGTTGTATTATGTTATTTTTATTGTAAAGCGCATCTGAACATGTTTATTGTGAAAGGAGCGCTTTATAATTTATAAATACATGTAATAATAATAATTAATAATAATAAATAAAATCGTCCGAGCGGTTGACAAGAGTTGACGCATATTTATTCCTTTGTAGGTAATTGGGGGCCTTTACAAGACAGTTCCATACAGATCAGATTATGATTTTTTGTCGTTTGAGGGTTCACAAGGTTCAATAAAGTGAAACAAGGGCCATAACTCTAGACTTAATAAACGGAAATGGCTAAAATTCAATAGGCTTCTACATTTTACTAATTTAAATGATGCATATAAATCTCACAAAGATCGGATGATAACTTTTGGTGTTAGAGCGTTCACAAGGATCAATAAAGTGAAACAAGGGCCATAACTCTAGAAGTAATAAACGGAAATTGCTGAAATTCAATAGGCTTCTTCGTTTCACTAATTTAAATAATGCATATTAATTTCACAAAGATCGGACGATAACTTTTGGCATTAGAGCGTTCACAAGGTCCAACAAAGTGAAATAAGGGCCATAACTCTAGACGTAATAAACGGAAATTAAATAGGATTCTTCCTCTCGCCAATGTGAACAACATATATCAATTTTAAAACAATCTGATAATAACTTTTGGCGTTAGAGCGTTCACAAGAAATTGTGGCCGACGGACCGAGGCGACGGCAATATACGTCAACATTTCAATATGGGCGTATAAAAAGGCGATTTTTTGTACAATCAGAGGCCATAATTCAGAAAGTTACGATCCGATATGCGCAAATATCGAAAGGAACCAAGAACTTTGGATTATAAACATGCATTTCAAGTTTCATCAAAACCCATTTAAAATTGCCCGTCTTTATTAGCCAAGTATAGAAGCAGAACAGTAGAACGTTAAACCCCATTTCATTTCATTCCATTTAAAATTGTGACCTCAATAGGGTCCACAAGCTAAAAGCTTGATTTTTCATACAATTTTTCGTACGATTCGATATATGCCAATATCGAAAGCAATCGAGATCTTTTGGAGATAAACCTATATTTCGAGTTTCGTCAAAATCGTATAAGAATTGTGACCTGTAGAGAGTCCACAAACAATTGAAATTGTGGGCGTATAAAAATATAAAATACAATCTAATACACTGTTTCTTACCGTTACATATAGCCTCTGTCGTGTTAACACCAAGCCTGGATATAAGGCATGTATATGTCCCTGATATTGCCAGACACAAATGTAGGCTTTGTCAAGCACAATCTATCTCGTACCTGTCATTTTGTTTGGCATTGATTTGGATTTTTTTTCTTTTCACTGACTTTATCAATGTCTTGCACGAAGTTCAAAATGTCAGAGACTAGTTCAGTAGCGCGGGATGGACGAACAGGGTGAAGACATATGCCTACACAAAAATGCATGCTGTATTCAGATACAGTAAATATTAGACAGTAAAAAATCACACCTCAATATTTTCAATGTGGTTATTGTTCAACCAAAGAACTTCTAGATTATTCAATGTTTTTATATTTTCTATCTTCTTAATCTGATTAGAATACAGGTATAATTTTTTCAGCTTTTTCAAATGATCAATGTTTTCAATTTTCTGAAAATAAAAATATATATATGCTTTAAATATCAGTCAAAATCGAAAAACTAAATTACCTATCAAATACATGTTTTAACTATTATAAGAATATGAATGCTTTACAATATTTAAAGTTTTAAAATTATTTAATGAGCCTATAAAAAAAACCACATAAAAGTGGTAATGGCTTGAAGCCAGTGTGATTATTTACATTACATACAACTGTGTATGTGTCACACGCTCCCAAAAAGTTTTTCAGAGGACATATGTAGTCATGTGATATCACAAGAAGCACACATTGTCAGCCAAACTGCAGCTGATACAGATCAACATTTGTGCTAGGTTTATTCCAACAAGCATAAATATGTACATACGAAAATAACTTAAATAATTAAAGCTGAACTCCGGTTACAAAAATACCGAAATAATTAAATAAAAAAAAAGTTAATGCCCCCAAGCCGCCATACTTGTTTCCAATTTGTGAAATAAATATGGCGGACATGGAGGCTTATGACCTGGAAAGGTTAGCCGATCTCACTTCCAGTTTGTTTCTTGTCAGCCAGCTGTACACATCCGGCCTTATTCTCTACACACGCTTCACTGATTGCTCTATTGTTTCCCAACAGTATACCAAATTATTAAAGATTGCAAAATGTCTGATCAGGTAAGCCTGTAAAATTTCAGGTTGGGGTCAGCCATCTTTTTGCATCTTTTGTTTTAGAGTAAAGCTTAGATATAGTAGTATACGCAGTTCATATAATTATTTACAGGCTTACCTGATCAGAAATAGAGCAATCAGTGAAGCGTGTGTAGAGATGCAAAAAGATGGCTGACCCCAACCTGAAATTTTCAAGCTTTACTCACCTGCACAAACTATTTATTCTTTTGTAGGTAATTAGGGGAATTTAATAGACAATTTCATACAGATGACATTATAATTTTCGTTGTTTGAAGGTTCACAAGGTTCTAAAAACTAAAACAAGGGCCGTAACTCTGGAAACAATCTACAGAAATTGTTCAAATTCGACAGGCATTTTTCGTTTTACTAATTCAAATGATGTATATAAATTTCATACAGATCGGATGATAACTTTTGTTGTTCGAAAGTTCACAATGTTCAACAAAGTAAATCAAGGGCCATAACTCTAGATGTAATTGACGGAAATTGCTGACATTCAATAGGCTTGTTCGTCTTCATTTCACTAATTGAAGTGATAACTGAAACTCAATAGGCTTGTTCGTTTTACTAATTTAAATGACATATATAAATTTCATACAGATCGGATAATAACTTTTGTCGTTATTTAAATGACACCTATAAATTTCATACAGATCGGTTGATAACTTTTGTTGTTAGAGCGTTCACAAGGTGCAACAAAGTGAAACAAGGGCCATAACTCCAGAAGAAATTAACGGAAGTTATTGAAATTAAATAGGCTTCTTCATCTCACTAATGCAAACAACATATATCAATTTCAAAACAATCGGTTGATAAATGTAGTCTGTAGAGTGTTCACAAGAAATTGTGGACGATGTAGCCAATGATTACTACATCCATTTTACGGTAATCTGATTTAAATTAATTCAGCTATTAACGTTTAAGTATCCGACAGCCAAAAACTGTTTTCTAATTTTCATTAACGACCTTAATCCGGTTGATTGGCTGGTGATGTCACAGGCACTACACATAGTATATACATTATCTATACAATATATATCTCTTTTTGTATAATATATCACTGTATAAACACACCACCAGTTGACAAGTGTGTATTTGTCAGGCCAATTAACATTGGACTGGCGTAATCATTAACTCGTAATATCACTATATAACTAAGTCAAAGCATTTTCAAAAGTGATATCACCTCGGTGGAAGCGGACGTAAAATACAACTAACTAACAACAACAACAAAAGCCAACCTTTCTCGTCTTGAATTGTAATAGATTAGATATTTGGGACTAGAATATTTCGAAGTGTATTTTAAGATGCCGCATTATCGTTGTGTTATTGAGAGTTGTGGAAATTAAAGCAAAAAAGGGGGCATAATGTACTGGCGTTTCATTAATTTCCCAAGGATGAAATTCAGAAATCTTACGGAAAGAGTGGATTGCGTTTGTAAACAAATCAAATCCTGATTGGCAACCTACAGTCACAACAGTGATATGCAGTGAACATTTTGCAAACGATTGCTATGGGCTGCGGCCTAACTTAATTGAAGTTTTCGTAACACGCAAACAGATAAAAAAAACTTTTTCCAGGTTCCATTCCTACAATTTGTCGGATAGATATTCAACCCTTACCATTATTGAAGAATATGAATCGGATCTCAATACAACCTTTATTAGTACCTCACCAGTCTCCAAAAGACGAAAGGTAAGCATCGAATAATATATATATTGTGGGGTTATTTATAACGACCGGAAAATGTTATAATGTACCAATCCTATTCATCAAGATTAGACGCTGTTACTTGTGAACCGTTAGCTATAATATGCACCACTATAAAGGGAAAATGTGACTCGAAAAAGAATTCCGAGGAACATTCTTTATCAACGCCTAGTTTGGTGAGCTAGCCCCTAAAATGTCGGTCGTCGAGACTCGTCGTATTATATGTAGCTATGGGAAGTTATTTTTAACTATTTTGACTGATCAATGGGCCATACATATATCATAATGATAATGCATATTTCGCAGATAAAGCCCGTATAAAATTTAATGACCGTAAACAGTTTTATTCTTCTGCTAAAAGTAAATAAGAATTAGGCATACAACGATAAAAAATTATTTTTGTACAGGTTATGTCTGAGATAGATATGAACAAAGCAATGCATACCATGGATATCGATGATGAGTGTGGATTTCATATTAGTCTTATAGTTCGGTGGCTGAAGGGGGGGGAATCGCCACCTGAGCTGTGAATTTATGAGACCAGTTTTTTGACGTAAATGATGTTCATGTTATGTATTGATAACATAAATTTCTAGGACTGTCCATCTCTAAAGAAGTGTATATGATGCCCCTGGACAACTGTTTTGATTTGTGGGGAGGTAGGGTGAGGGTAGCAGGTGTGCGTGTATGGAAGTGTGTGTGTGTGGGTGTGTGTGTGGGGGGGGGGGCTAAATTGGCGGGTAATGAGTTCACGTTGATTTAAAGATACATTAGTTAAGAGTTTAATAAAGAGCTGGAAATTGAAAATTCCATTCAAATTACTTCATTCTCAGCCAAGTTATCATTGTTTGTAGTTTTGACAAGATGTGAGCATAGTGGTAACCAGGGCACTTGTATAATCGTGACTTATGATTTTCTTAGAGCTTGGCAAAAACATTACTCTTTAATTCCGCTGCACATCTCTAAATATGTGTTTAAGATTCTCATTATATGGGGCGGCGGGCAAAATGTAATTTTGGGTACAGAAACCAACTGGTTTAAAATAGACCTGAAAAGTGTTTTCTCGATCATCAGACCGTCTAGTTGATGTGAGGAATTAGCCAATGAAATGGTCTGTTAAGGCGAATTCTTGGCATGCTCTGCACGGAACTGGGTAAATCCCTAGAAACATCATCACTGATTGATTAATTAATGTATGACAACATAGGGTCAAAAGCTGCCCGTATGACCACTGACGCGACCTTCCAGTACAATTGGCCAGACCTTCATGTAGGGTAGGCCATCGAAAGTATAAAAAAAAAATGAAACGAAATATACATCTGTATTTTAATCAGATTGCTTTTCGTCATTCCAAATATAAAATTATAATGGTACTTTTCAAGAGATCTGGAAATCTTGAGCGCTCGAGATATTTTTTTTGCGTGTCCTAAATCAGCCACCTATATTTTTTATCGTTATAATTTTGTTTTTTATTTCATGTACAATTTATTTTTATATTTCATGAAAAAAATATTTTTTTTATTTTCTAAAAAAAAAAGAAATATATATTTTTTTTTTCTATTTTTTTTATTATTATTATTTTCTAAAAAAAATATTTTTTTTTTATTTTCTAAAAAAATTTAAAAAAAATTTAAAAAAAGAATTGTTCACGTTACGAGAGTTGCCATATTGTGCCGCGGTTATCCAGCTATGATTCGTAACTGATTGCGAGTTGTCTCCCTTATTCTTGTAGTCTTGTGTCATCAGTCAACTCTACCTGCTGCTCAATATTCGTTTTATCAACATGAATCCTTCGACGAAAGCACAGGGCATTAGTTTTCACAAGTAAGTATGAATATTTAATGAAATAGGTCAGGAATTGGAAAACCAAAATCTCGACCTAGACTAGGATTGTACTAGGTAGGCCTAATGGTATAATGTCGTCCTATTTTACCATGCAGTCGCAATAATTAATTTGATATTTGATTATGCTCCAAGTCTTTAAGTATGAAGAATAATTTGACAGGATTCGCACCAAGAAGCACTTGGACCCCCAACCCAGGGGCAAACTTAAACTTAGAAATCTTCTTTAGAGTTATAAAGACCCAAGTCTTCAACACAGTGATTATAAATTTCCAGAGAAACAATCTTTCCTATGAAGAAAGGGAAGCCATTGTTCATTTCAAGACGAACCCAGATATTATTATTAACCAGCGGCTGCCAGGCAGGATACGCCCACATTTTCGAGAGATGGATAGAGAACAAGCTAAGAAGAAAGTGATTTTTCCTACAATCAATGGCCATAATTCAGGAAATTACAATTTGATATGTGCGAATATCGAAAGGAACCAAGATCTTTGGGTTATAAACTTACATTTCAAGTTTCAACAAAGTCGATGATGTATAAGACTAAGAGTACAAGACTTTGCCTTTCTTACACGCACAATAAATAAAATTCTTTAGTATAGATTTATAGATTTTATTTCATGTAAAGTGATAGCTCAGTAGATTATGAAAGTTATCACAGAAGTCAGAAGCGATATCTACTGTAGAATGCGTTGTTGGGTGATAAACCACATTTCTATATGGGTGTAAAAAGGAAACATTCTTGACTAACATTGACGTAACATTATAATGTAACACATGCATTAGACCATTCTTGGCGTCCAATGGACGGAAATTTCTTGAATGATAACACTATTAACAGCATTAGTTTAACTTACCGTGATTTCACACTCACACAACCACAGCTGTTGCAAATTTTGGAGAATAGTCAAGCCTTCAATTCGCTGTATGGACTGCCCTATAATTGTTAGACTTTGTAAGTTTGGAAAATGATTTAAACCAATCATTTGAGGAAAACCAGAGAAGAACATCTCTAAAACTTCCAGTGACTGATCATCATTAAAGACTCTATTAAAGTTGATTCCATTGTTGACACACTAGAGAAAAAAAAAAAAAAAAAAAAAATATAAATGAAGACTTTGCACATTTCCAGATAAGCTCACATTTTGCTAGAGATGGACAGAGAACAGAGAAATCAATAGGGTTCATCCTCTCATTGTCCAAATGCTTCACATTTAATTTGAAACAAGCCAACAGTGAGGCTGATGTCCCCCGCCGAAATCGCAAAATAAATAGATGACACATTAATCAAAAGTATCAAGCAATCAAACTGTTTATCAACTATACACTAAATTTCATCACTCTCTATCAGATAGAATCAAAGTTATCTTGTTCCAAAGCATCGACCAATGAAATTGCTTACCTCTGTTTAGCCTTAGCTCGAAATGCTTATGAACATCTACATCAAGTTTAAACATTCTACTACCTCAATTAAAAGCAGAGTTGTTATGTTCCAAAGTCTTGACCAATTCTTAGGGTATAACAGTGATATACAAAAACGTTTTTTTAAATCGGATAAAAATTATGACCTCTATAGGGTCTTCAAACTAAAAATGCGATTTTTCGTACAATCAGGGGCCATAATTCAGGAAGTTACAGTCCGATACATGCCAATATCGAAAGAAACCGAGATCTTAGGGTGATAACCCTATATTTCAAGTTTCATTGAAATCGGATAAAAATTGTGACCTGTAGACTGTTCACAAACAACGGACAGGGGCGACGACAATATACGTCCACATGAAAATGGGGGCGTATAAAAATGCGATTTATCAAACAATCAGGGGCCTTAATCCAGGAAATTACGTTCGGATATGCACGATTATTGAGAGTGATCAAGATCTTTGCGATAAAAACATAAATTTATAGTTTCATCAAAATAGGATCAAAATTATGATCTCCAGAGGGTCCACAACCTTGATTTACCATATTTTTACACTATATGCATAGGAGGGGCGGCCATTTAGTCCGGCATTTTGGATCCGATTTTCACTAATTTCGAACTCAACAATCTTTAGGATGTTTTTTAAATTGAATAAAAATTGCGACCGCTAGAGGACAGACCACAAGCTATAATAACATGTTTTTTTCGTATAATCAAGGACCATAATTCTTGAAGTTACAATCCCATGTGTGTGAATATCAAAAGAAACCAAGATTTTAGGGTTATAAACATGTATTTCAAGTTTCATTAAAATCAGATAAACTGGGGGGTTGGGTGGTTTTGATTCCCCGGTTGTACATGACAAGTTGTAGCGTCATCTGTCCAACCTTTTGGGGGGTTTTCCGGGTCCTTCGGTTTCCTCCGACTGCTAAAGACCCCTACGTGCAAGCAAATTAATGGAATAAAATTGAACCATATGTTAGTCCCGAAATGACCATTTTTGTGTCGAGTAGACATAAAACCCCATTTTTCTCTCTCTCTAGATGGTCCACAACACATTTTTACACTAATTGCGTATGAGGGGCGGCCATTTTGTCCGGCAGTTTTTGGTATAATCAGAGGCCCTAATTCAAGAAGTTACGATCCGATATGCGAAAATATCAAAAGGTACCAAGATCTTTGGGTTATAAACATGCATTTAAAATTGTTAACTCTAGAGTGGCCACAAGCTGAAAACAAGATTTTTGTACAGAGAGAGAGAGAAATGGGGTTTAACGTCCACTAAACACAAACCAGGTCATTTCGGGACTAAAATATGGTTTTCATTTTATTTACATAATTCACTTGCGCGTAGGGGTCTTTAGCAGTGGGAGGATTCCGGAGGCCCCGGAGAAAACCCACGAGGTTGGACAGGCGATCCTACTCCTTGCCACGTACAACCGGGGATTCGAAACCAGATTTTTGTACAATCAGGGACCATGATCCATGAAGTTATGGTCTGATACATGCAAATATCGAAAGGAACCGAAATCTTTTGGAGATAAACCTATATTTCAAGTTTCGTTAAAATCGGATAAAAATTGTGACCTGAAGAGTGTCAACAAACAAATTGTGGATGGATGTCGGCATAATTTGTCCACAGGAAAATGTGGGCGTATAAAAATATGACGTGTTATTGTTGTGTAACATTCTTAATGATCAGTTAACCAGTAATTTACTTTAAACAACAGAAAAGAACCTGGTAGCCTGTTACGGCAGAAGTCCATATTTATTTGATAATTATTTGATTCGTGTCCATAAATTAGATGCTGATAATCCTTACTCCTAGTGCATGATTTGTACTATACATAACCATAACAATGTATAAAAGCTGCCACTAGTGCCAAAGAGAAAACGCAATGATAAGCTAAACGTTTTAAGTGGATTTTATATTATTGTGAATATGTTATAAGAAGTTGTAGAGCATTTTCATGTCAAATTAATGTATTGCTAACGTATGTATATGATGATTTTAGGCATTTAAAGTTAGGTCTATTGTTCACATGTTTTTTTTGTACGATTTAGCAATTTTCCAAATGAGGTAGACGCAGGGTTTTTGATAATGTTAGGATAATTTAATTTCATATTTCATTAGGCCAAAGACATTGGTTATCAGTTAAGTTTATATCTTTGACTTACATTGTTCAATGTAATAGTATTGTAATTCACTGTTATTTTATCATTTCAGTGAAATCACGTTTGGTTGTTGAATTGTAGGTCACACGTTTGTTTGTTGAACTGTTTACTTTCGCTTAGTTTTGTAATGTGTATTGAACTTAACGCGTAACGTGTGTTGTTATTATTAATTTATAACGGTGTGTTTCAATGTAACAATTTCAACGCAACAATGTAATACTAAACGTAATAAACCTGTTCTATTCACAAACTGAACGCGTGTTTGACTTAGGGGGAGGTCACTAGATTTGCTGTAGTTGCCTTCTACATCGCCATTTTGAAATCTTACCATCCGTTCAAAGTAGAATTTACACAAGCTTATAGGCAACCTTCTTGATTGTGACATAACCTAATCTGTGCTGTTTTATTGAATCTTAGACAATTTACTTTCAAATCAAATAAATCCTACCATTTTGTGACCTGTTGGGAGCTTTGAATCACAAAAAAAATTATCTGAAAAGATATTTTTGCCATATAGTCACTATAATAAAGCAGTCACGATTTCACATCATATAAAAGAAGAAAAAAAGGGAATTATATTTCAATCATGGCGGCTATTTTTTATGTCAGATTATAAATCTACAATTGGGAATATGGACTTTTTGGATATCGGTCAAAACATTGCAAAGAGTTCAAAATACACTTGACAGTATGGTACGTGTAGTTATACAACCTGGTCAAAATGTGATAGGGAGAAGTGTCTCTGTATGTGAAAGACACTGTCTTTTAACCAGTGGATGCCAGGCAAGATTCGCCAACATTTTGCAAGAGATGGATAGAGAGCAAGCTAAAAGATTGGTTGCCAGGCAATGAAACATACACCCACAGCAGCTAAATTGTCCGATCAATCAACAAGAGTTGTCGCATATTTTTACTTTTTTCTGTAAAAAAACATTTATAATACACTAAAATCTGATTAAAGAGTAACAACTCATTTAGTAATTATCACAAAATCATTAGAATTTGTTAGGTTTTTATAAAGTTCTGCCCCATGCTAACTTTTTAGCATACGAAACATTTAATATCATGGATTTAGCTGTTCAAGTTATCAAAAATCGTTGAAAATCATTAGGCTTTTTCATCCCATGACCTTAAACACTGTGTATAATAAAGTTAAAGTCAATCGGATGTTAACGTAAGCCTCGAGAGCGTCACAAGATATTTCAAAGTGATCAAGGGCCATAACTCTGGCAATAATTACCGGATATCGTTGAAAATCACTAAGCTTCTTCGTCTCATGACCTTAAACACTGTGTATAAATTTAAAGTCAATCTGATATTATCTTTAGCCTCTAGAGCATCCACAAGATTTTTCAAAGTGTTCAAGGGCCATAACTCTGGCAGTAATTACCGAAAATCGCTGAAAATCAATAGGCTTCGTTGTCAGATGACCTTAAACACTGTGTATAAACTTAAAGTCAATTGGATATTAACTTTAGCCTCCAGAGCACCCACACGATTTTTTGAAGTGATCAAGGGCCATAACTTATCGAAAATCGCTAGGCTTCTTAGTCTCATGACCTTAAACACTGTGTATAAATTTAAAGTCAATCGGTTATTAACTTTAACCCCTAGAGCGTCCACAATCTGGGCCGACGTACGGACCGACGACAATATACAACCACATTTCAATGTGGGCGTATAACAAAAAGTTATTTTTTTGTACAATCAAGGGCCATAATTCAGGAAGTTACCATCCGATACACGCGAATATCGAAAGAAACCAATATCTTTGGGTTATAAACATGCACTTCAATTTCATCAAAATAGGGTGAAAATTGTGACCTCTAGAGGGTCCACAACCTTGATGTACCATATATTTACACTTTTAGTGTACGAGGGGCTGCCATTGTATCCGGCAGATTTGGTCCGATTTTCACATCTTTTGGGTGCAACCAACGGTGACATATTTGAACGTTTTTTTTTTTTTAATCAGATAATAATTGTGACCTCTAGAGGGACCACAAGCTAAAGACAACGAGTCCAATAAATTCTTTACTCCCCAATTTAAGAGCGCAGGAGATTTTGTCTGCTTCTGTCGAGACTTAGCAAAGCTAGGATCGGTAAAAGTCGAGGAGGAACGAAATGTAGAAATAGGGAAAACTATATTTACCTACGTTACAAACACAACGAAAATTAATAAAAATATCCAAACACCCTAAAAATCAAATCAAGGGAAACTCTCTGAAGCAGAAAGGGCTCCCGAGACAGAGCAAACAAATATGCCCACCCCCCTCCACATCAAAATCAAAAGAACACCGCTGAAGCCGTAGTCACTCAAGACTACCGGCCAAAAGAAACATAAGCTCAGTTGTCAGTGAAGATGAAGACAATTTACTAAGACAATCCCAGGATAACCGACAATGACAAATCTCACGAGATTATCGTGGCGCAACATTACATTGCGGGATTGACTTGTCTTCTAGTGACGTGTACAGGTGGAAGTGGACGTAAAATTCCAGGAAGGAAGGAAGGAACGAACGAACGAACAAACGGGAGGTGATTTACTGATTTCCAAATGCATAATTACCTTGGACGTGATTTACCGATTTTTGATGTATTTGTCAATGGCGGAATTACTATTTTGAATGGATAATGGATAATAACACTACGACCACGGTAAGGTGAGCATCTATGGGTATGCTTTTTTTTTTATATTCACCATTTTTATTCGCACTTAATATGCAAATAATCGTAATCAAAATATACTGATCGGATAAACGGCTCTCGGGAAAATAAACGATTCATCTAATAGTTTAACACAGTAGATAAATTAACAGGTGTTGATTTCTAAATGCATCTCGGGAAATTGGACTGCTCGTCTAATAAATAAACGCATTAGATAAGTCAACGGGTTGGCCATTTCTAAACCCCACTTGGAGAAATCCAACGGTGTACCATTAAATTAAACCATAGTACTAATTAAACCATTTTTGTAATTTCCAAACGATTTTTATTAATTATCAAACGATGTTTTGAAATTAAACCATATGCATAGTTTTTAACGCTAAAAACCCCTTATTAAACGATACCGTTAAACCCAATTTCATTTATTAAACGATACAAGGGTTACAGTGTATACCAGACACTCATTATTAATTATCAACACAACACTCGGTATAATCTGTTGACGACTATGTATACAACTCTATTACACGAATCATGAGATTATGTGGCTTTGTGTGCATTATTCTGTAGAATAGCGGAGGTTAATTGTAGCCATGTTTGAAAATGGGATTTGAAAAAAAGGCTTTCATTTTTGTGTGCAAAATAACCGTTAGCTCAAATCTAGATATGGTCACTTTCTATAGCCCTAGGTCCTGACCGGCATATACGGCCGACGTGGAACCCATGCTTTAAACTATCTCACCTCAATTTAGCAGGTTTGATGTCTGATGTTGTCGATTGTAGTTTATGTTACATTTACCTTGTTTCAGTGGTTATGGCATAGATGCTTAGATGTATTTACTGTACCACATACAGATTTTAAAGAATCTGAAGCAGTGAGGCTCATGAGGGCTGAATATTAAAGCACAATTCTATATTTATAACCACATCATGACTATATTTATGCTATAATCACTAACTACTCACTTATTTTTACGAATTTTGCTCAAACAAAGCTTAAGCTTTTAAAAATACGTTTATTTTTAGACAAGGTTTGGGGTGTTTTAAATTGTTAAATAAACCGAGAAGTGGGCTCATACCTTCCTTTGGCCCATAGGCTTTTTGACATCTAAAATGCACACAGGAAGGCGGGAAGTTCTAGCACTTCACCATTGGTTATAGTGAGAGTAAGATTTCTGATTTTGAATCATTGATATTATTATCGTTAAAACCACTCCACAATTTCCCAAGTGGAACAACTTACAACTTCACGTATAATTTCTTGATCTTTAGCTGTATAATTATAAAAGTTTTTTGGACCATGATGTTTTTCTTCCACTCGATGTGGTATTGATTGTAAAAATGGTTCTCTGTACTTCTCAGACAGGGATTCAACATCCATTGTATCACTTCCGGTTTCAGTATTTGACATGTCTGCAATCAGTGATGGTATGTTGCGATTTCAATAAAGAAATTAGATGAAAATGTACCACATCTAAACAACTTATACTAACATGTTCTTTCAAAATGTTTATCTGAAAAGAGAAAAGAAAAAGATAGCCACTCACAGTGTGGAAATACACTCACAGAGCAGTTATGTTTCAAAAGCAGCTTATCTGAAGAAAAACTTGGATGTTGACCAAATTTGATAAGGATGTAGGGATCCTCCAAGAAATTTAATCTCTATCCTGTTCACATAATATATCTCTGGAACGAAAAGACCTAAACTGCTGAAAATCAACAGGGTTCATACTTTCCGAATCCAATGCTTATATAGAATCAAAAGATGGGGGGTACTCTAGAACAGAAGGTCGCGAACCCTGAATATCAATAGGATTCATCCTTTCTTGTGTTACATAATAAGCAGCTGTGGTTTATAGCTGTCAGTTGGAGATATAATTAGTCACATGTATAAATAATGCAGAATCTTTATTAATCATAGTATAAAATGTAAAACAATGATATGGACAGGTGTGTCTGGCAGTACAATTAGTAATTATTTGTATGCGTTACACATGCATAAATTAAATAAGTTAATAAGTCACCATCTCCTCATATTGTTAGATATTAAAAGGATATTCCTGAATTTCATAGAGCCTAAGACATAACAGTCCGTGTACGTATGGAATTTAAATGTCAAAATATAGAGGAATGGTGTATTTACCTTGTCCGAAAAGTTCAGTTCAAAATATTGAGTCGTTTCGAAAATTCGTCGCTGTGATTTCGATCCGGAAGTTGAGACCAACCTGAGAACTTTTTTTTAATAGTTGAACGGTTTTCGGGAAATTTGGAATGTACATGTAAGTAGATCTTATTGATCCGACTTGATACATGTAACTAGAAATTTTCTAACTTATCTCCCCCTGGAGGACCTAAGGATCAAAGTTTTCAAAAACTCAACAAAATATAGATCAGACTGCCTCGAAAAAAAAATTCTGTACTAGCTAAGAAATTACAGATGCGTACACCAAATGTGAAGTTTGTCGATCGATCGAACCGGAAGTGCCACCATCTTGAAACATGAAAAATCCTTAAGAATTTTGCGATATTTTACTTACAGATACAGACATGAGAGTTGCATTTTCTGAATTTCTGAAGAAATGGCTTAAAATCTATTGAAGCAGAATTTTAATTTCCATCAAATGATAGTCACCATTTTGAATTGAATATGAAAAATAGTGAAAAATCTACATTAACGACCTGTAAATAAATAATAGGCCATAGTTTGTTGAATTCGTCTATTTCTAAATTTAATACATTTCTGGATAGCCTGGCTCATGGTCGAATTTTGGGTATTTTAATATTTAAAAATTTGGAATTTCGCCTCTGACGTTATTTGTGATGACGAAGTTGTTTACAAGTGAAAAATTCCCATTAACGCCTTGAAAAAAATCGAAATCAGCCGTCGTTTTGTGAATTCTGGTTAGCCTCTTCCCAAGAATGGGTGGTGTCTTTGGAATCAATATATTTTCAGAATGTTTTACGAATCCGAAATCACCAAAATTTACTGATTAAAACATTGACCTTATCTTTAGACATTTCCTAACTTATCTCCCCTTGGAGAAATTAAGGGACAAAGTTTTGAAAAAATTAAAAAAAAATTAGGTCAGAATGCCTTGAATTTTACTGATGCATACACAATATTTGGAAGTCAGGACTAGAAATTCACGTGAATCTCCGAATCTAATTCGCACTGGGATTCTCGCAGAGGATGTTCAAGGGGACTAGCCATGACCTCACACGAAATTTCAGCCGAATCGGTCAATAACTTTTTATTTTACTCACACGAAATTTCAGCCGAATCGGTCAATAACTTTTTATTTTACAGTAGTAAAATAAAAAGTTATTGACCGATTCGGCTGAAATTTCGTGTCAGGTCATGGCTAGTCCCCATGAATACCCCCTGAAAATTTCAAGTCGCTACGATCATGGGAACTGGTAGAGGTACGTTACTGAAATAGTACCCAAATTTGCGTCTACCGTTATGATTATCTTATTTTATACTAATACTATACACATGCTGACCGGTGGTACTTTTTACCGCTGACTTAATGCTTTTTACCGCCGACCGTCGTGTAATTACCGCCGACCAAATACTTTTTACCGCCGACCGCATTGTAATCATTTTCGACCGTAATATAAATACCGCCGACCAAATACATGTTACCCCCGGCCAAATGATTAATGATTCCTTGTTACCGCCGACTATTTTACGGTTGTTTTTTTTTTTATAAAAAATAATACAACAAGAATGTTATTTTTTATTTGAGGGGTAATCACGTACAACTGTCGAAAAACATTCATATATATTTTAAAGAATATGGAAGGACAAAACTACAATTTAGATATTGAAGGGCAAATATATCAAGATTGTTTCAGCTACTGGTTATAAAAAAATAACATTTTAGGCCTATCTTCTATTAGTGCGAGGGTTAGGGTTGTCGACCATATTTATATATAATAAAATCTATATTTTTATCAAACTCTGTGTAGTTAACCAAATCTATTTTTTTGTCACTAATAATTTAATTAATTTTATATAGTCGGCGGTAACAAGGAATCATTAAGCATTTGGTCGGCGGTAACAAGTATTTGATCGGTGGTAATTATATTACGATCGAAATATATTACAGTGCGGTCGGCGGTAAAAAGTATTTGGTCGGCGGTAATTTCACGATGGTCGGCGGTAAAAAGTACCACCCCATGCTGACAGATGCTAAATTTTAAAAATATTATTGAAGGATATATCCTAGTCGTACTGAATTTTATTTTATAGCAATTTCATTTCGATTGTCACGTGATCATTCTACTGTTTGTCTATCATCCATGAATGAATAAAAGAAATTGCAAGTTACGGTGACTAGTTACGTGATGGACAAAAGACTACAAATTGTGTTATGAAGAAATGACATGGTGCCGTATCATTTTATTTTGGCTACGGCATTATCTGGATATTAGGGCCTACTTTGTAAACCGTTTTTAGGAGTTCGAGTTTTGTCTAATGGTTTGGATTGTTCGTACATGGTTTTATTTTATTTAAGTGTTTACCAAAAATTCCATCTGCTTGTTTTATTTTTATCATTGTTGTTGTATTTTGATGTTTTAGATTAACACAAAAAACATTTTTTTATTTTTAGACATTATTATTATTAAAGATTCGGAGGATTCGCGTAGATTGCATATATGAGAATCCTCTTAGATTCTTGCAAAAAATGACGAAGTTGTCGTTTTTTTTTAAAAAATGCTGTAGCATTAACAATAATCATCGAATTTTAACATATGATGCATATTGACATAACCGGAGACCAGGCACATAGCTGTGCTACTTTTGATTTTTGATTGTCGATGAATCTTCGTAGATATTAAGTGCCAAATTTCGAAAATTTAAAATTTTACAAAAAACTTTTTCATATTTATGAATATTTTTAGATGGCATTTTACCCAGGGTTGAAGAGTTATCCGATTTGACTAAAAATGTCAACATTTTTTGTGTCCGTAATTTTCATTGGTCGCCATTGGCCAATTCAGTTTTTCAGTCCTAGATTAATTATTTATTATTCGATTTGTACAAAAGAAAGTTCATATGCTGCATGATCCAAAATGTCATTTTTTTTGTTACCGGTAAAGATTCCTGTTGGCACCGGAAGTGATGTAATATCAGCAAAAACTACAATTTTGACAATTCGGTACAACTTTTTGAAAGCAAATATCATTTTTTTCCAATCTGATTTAACTGAAACAGGGTGTGCCCTGTAATGGCGCACAAAACATCAGGCTCAGTTTTTTTAATTTCGATTTCGTTTTCGGGCCATTTAGATTAAAAGGTGAAAAAAGGTGTAAAAATAAGCTATTTACAACCCATCCACCGTCTTCACATTTCAAAATATTTCATCGTAACATTCATAACCTCGTAGCAATAACCCATACAAAGAGAATGTATGTCAACATTAGTTTGTAACATCAGCAGTTGCCGAGAAATAGGCATTTTTGCATGAGTCACATTTCATGTTATTTTGCCTGTACAAGAATCTATTATTCAATTTTCCTTCACCATTTGATGCCTAATGCCACGATTGACTAGATTAAACCATTTTAACCCCCCTTACTGTCATCGGAAGTGACATCATTTGGGCAAAAACTGAATTTTAGCCTTCAAAACCGATATTTTTTTTCAAATGAGTCGTATATGTTATTTGTTGAGAAGTATATTTAATTTCAATCAACAAAGAGAATGAACCCATACGACCATACAGATACCACAAAAGGGATTCTAACTTGTAAGGTTGAAGAGAAATAGACGATTTTCTACTAGTCACTTTTCAAGGTTTTTGGTCTATAACAGTGTCAATTGTTATTCGATTTTCATAAATTTTCACCATGTGATGCCTTATGCCATTTCTGATTTCATTAAACTAATTTAACATTTTCATTCTCATTCTCACCGGAAGTAATGTCATTTTAGCAAAAACTGTATTTTTAGCCTTCAAAACAAATATTTTTTTGAAGTGAGTTATATTTAGTATTCGTTTAACATTTTATTTCATTCCAATGGAAATATAGATTGGATCAATCGATCATAAATATGTCAAAAATAGCTTCCAGCATCTTCTCTTGCAAAGAAATAACCAATTTCGTCAGGATCACTTTTTAAGACTTTTCGCATTTTTATTACAGTTTATGGGTTCTAAATTAATTATTTATTGCCTGATTTGTATAAAACAAAAGCTCATATACTCCTTGGTGCAAATTCTCAACTTGTTTCTACCTATTATGTTTTCTGTTGACACCGGAAGTGACGTAATTTTGCCTAAAAGTTAAATTTTGACGGGTCGGGAGTTCTTTTCCTAAGGAAAAGTCTTAATTTCTACAAATCTTATCAATGAAGATGAATGCTCCTACTACAGGCGCAAAATATGTCGGGCTTAGTTTTTTGTTGGTTTTATTTTTTAGATCCGTTTTGTATTTGCGCCATTTTGATTTAAGGGTTAAAAAAGGAGTAAAAACCAGCTATTTACAACCCATTCATCTTCTTCAT